AAATTAAAGAAATGGCTCTGATGTTCTTACAGATTGTTAAAACACACTTCAGTTCTGCTCTTTGGAATGTTTAAGTCTTTTTAACTCACTTTGTGTGACAATTATGGAGGACCAACTCTGCCATATTTAAAAATAAATACAGAAATAAATAAATGCTCAATAAATAAATAAGCATACAATTAATTGTCCCCAAAAATACAATAAACAAACAAATGTAGATAGAAATTATTTGTTATAATTACCTCATTTATTTATTGCCCATTATATTCTTCAACTTTATTTATTTATTACTTATCTTTTTAAGTATTTATTTATGTGCATGCGATAATATTTTTGTCTGTATTATTCTTTCTTTGTATTTTTTACCCTCTTTATTTCTTCAACTCTATTTATTTCTGTCTGCATTTCTGCCTCATTATGCAAATGATGAAGGGGTGCGTCTCCATTTATTTATTTCTGTATTTATTTTTAAATATGGCAGAGTTGGTCCTCCATAGACTTCCTCCTTAGTGAATAAAAACTATCCATGTGCCAAAAAGGGTCTTATCTACTATCAACAGGTGTTTCCTGTTAATGCGTACCTATAGTGAAGTGTTGCTGTTTGCACTCAGAGGATGGAGGTGTTTCTTTCCACCACCAGCGCCGCTTTCTGTTCACTAAAGAAGCTACAAGAACTCGTATTAGCAAAACAGATGACTGTAGATGTATAAAAACAGATCACCATGAGCTCATGGTCATGATCTGTTCTATGACCTAAATCTCAACTAAAGGGAAATATTTAACAGTAACATTTAGAAAAAAAGTCCAGCTCTATCTACACATTAGACCAAACCATCTGGAAAGCAGGGCAGTCTGATGTTTCTGGACGCCGTAGCGACGTGTTCCTCATTCCTGCTCTTTAATGCTTTCTTTCCCAGGCTTTGCTCAGGAACGTCAGTTCCAGTTAAATCCTAAAGATGACCAGTTTGGCAATCAGGTGACTCTGGTATCGGACACGCTGTCGGTCCCCTGCGATGTGGAAAGGGACTCCACGCACGCCAACCAGATCCTGTGTTACACCAGGTAGACGAACACACCTGGCCCCCCGGACGCTCTGTGGGTCCTCTGACATGTAACCACTGTTGTTCCCTAACAGAGCGATGCCACAGGATCAGTATGTGGTCCATGTCAGCGTGGATGGGGTTCCCATTGCTGACGCCAACATCTGCAACGGCAATTACAAAAGTTACCATTGCAGCTTCTACGTAGGTTTGACCAGATAGTTCCCTGTCTGCTTCTGCCGTTCTGACTTTCTGCTGCTGGTTCTCATTTCTCTACATCCATCCTCAGACCCAATGGTGGCGAACTCCAACCATTTACTCCCTGAGTCCAGTCACCGGCCTTCCAGGTAGAACCTGCACACCTTGCTGGGATCTAACAGTGTTTACACTTTGAATGATCCAGTGCAACCTCTCCTGCAGGAACTCTGGTCACGATTCGGGGGCGGATCTACTCCGACGTCTACGGAAGCAACACAGACCTGAGCTCCAACGGCCACGACGTCAGGTTTCTGAGGTGTGGAAACTTTGCAAACACATCAAGTTTATCTAGTTTACGTTTTTCTGAGGCATTATTAGGGCCAGTGGAAAAAAAAAAATGAAACTGATTTTTAAATTTTATTTCAGTTTAGTAATGGAAAAAAGTCAGAATTCTGAGAAAAAGTCAGAAATCTGAGAAAAAAAGTCAGAATTCCGAGAAAAAGTCAGAAATCTGAGAAAAAAGTCCGAATTCTGAGAAAAAGTCCGAATTCTGAGAAAAAAGTCCGAATTCTGAGAAAAAGTCCGAATTCTGACTTTTTTCCCATACTAAACTGAAATAAAATTTTATAAATCAGTTAACGTTTTTATTTTTTTTTCACTGGCCCTAATCCTCTTCCGTACATTATCATTCCAAAACTCTTGGTTTAAAAATATATTCTCCTTCTTTTAGAAACGTAATAATTTAAAACTAGTGGCGGGTATATAAATTCAGCCATCTTTACTCAGTTTCCCCTAAATAAAATCCAGTGGGACTGGTTCTATTCTCATGTGACCACTAGGAGGATGACTTTTTTTTACAACCTCATATCCCTGCATCGTATGTATTTAATGAACTTTTATCAAAGATTACATAAAATCGTACTTTTAGGGTGATTTGATAAAAAAAAAAAAAAAAAAAACATTTTTAATGATCAGCTTTTCTGGCCAGTTTTTAAAGTCACTGGATGCATAGTCAACATTGAACAAAGCTTCAGAGTCACACGTATAACGTTAAATATGGTTAGAAACACAGAAGGAAGTGAACTGGCAGCTAATGTGAATCTCAGGGGGAGGTTGTCTGGTTTCAGCAGGTCTCCTGTAAATCTTGCGTAACGTGGAACGGAGGAGGAAGCTGAGAATCTTGCAAGAGAACGTTCAGATTTATTTAGCATCCTCAGACGGAGAGATGGACCTCTGACTGGTAGGGTGACTAGACGTTTCCTGGACATGTCCTACTCTGTCCAGGGGGAATTTCAGAACCTTCCAGGACTTTGGTCGCCTACAGTGCAGCAGAACCGAGCCGTCAGCTCTGCGGTGAAGCAGGATATTGAAGCTCCGCAGAGTCTGCGGGATCTAGCAAACCTCCTCCCACACGCCGTGGTCCAGTTAGGGACCGTCAACAAATCTTTGACCCATGCGCTATTGAGAAACAAAAATCAATAAATTCCCTATTTTATGACCAGCTGAGATGAAACCAATATAAAATAATGCCAATAGATAACGTAGTCAAGGCAATATTAAGATATTTTTAATTTGTAAGATATTTTTAAAGACAAATTTGGGGCTTTTTATCAGTAGCTTCAAGGTCATGTGACCTACTGATTCAAATTCTTTGTGAAATAGTTTTAACTACATTAGCCTGATGATGCTAATTTATTTTTATTCCATTTTAAGCCTTTTTTTAAACTTTTTTTTACAACAATAATTGATATTTCTTCAATAGCTTCCAGGTCATGTGACCCACTGACTGCAAATGAATGTCACATGAGAAACACTCATTTTTATTCCATTTCAAGCCTTTGTATATTTTTGCCTTACCGTCCTTCGGTCGCTCCGTCCCCGGCTGGATCCGGACCGGGACCTGATGGCTCGGTTCCAATGCCCACTCCGGTCCAGTCCCAGGATTTAAATTAGATTTGGTCTGTTCCAGTTTGCATGTTTTCTAAACTAAAACCAGGCTTTGTTGGGCTGCTGGATAAAACCTGGAACTAAACGCTATTTCTGACATTTTGATTTGAAAAAGCTTCCTGAGGATTGATTTTAATTTTCCTTTTTTGAAATGACACATGGAATAAACATCATTTTAGTTATTAATAGGCAAAAATTATTCATTTATGCTACAGGAAATAATTTTTGAGAACAAGAAGTCAGAAGCTAGTGACCCCATCGGTTGTAGAGCAGACGGTTTAGGGATAAAGTTCTGATTAGATCAGGTTTTAAAACAATACTCCATCTCCAGAAGCTTGCTTCAGTTTGTCACCTGAATGTTGTTACCTGCAGGTCTTACATGGGAGGGATGCCCTGCGAGCTGCTGAAGCCTAACTCAGATGAACTGTAAGTGGTCTGGCTGTCGATGTTCAGTGATTTTTTGGTCGACCTGTGAGATAAACAGTTTAGCCATGTCTGTGTGTGAAGGTACAACCTGCAGCTGGACTCTGAATCCTCCGACTGGGGCTACATGAGCTGCATGATGACGGGGACTTATGTTGGTAAGATGCTGCACTAATGATACAACCTGACCTCTGGAAGTGAAGGAACAGCAACTCAACGTCGTGTTTCGTTTCCCACAGGTCATCACAACATGAGCTACATCCTGGACGGTTATTATGGAAGGTGAGGTTCTGCTCAGAGCAACAGATACAGTGTTAACCGCTCAGGTATGAAACCACAGGCAGCTGAGACCCAGCTAAAACCTCGCCCCCTTCAGCTCACCCGAACCCGGGTCGCCCACATCCAGGACTAAGGTCTCCATACATGGAGCGTTCCAAACCAGTCCTACTTCCCCCGGTATGCGTCCCAACCAGGGGCACATTTAGGAAACTT